TGCGTGAGTGTGTGTATGTCTTCCAACCCTACGTCTTTCTTCCCTTTTATTTACGCGTTTATGATGGTAGACTAGGGCATATTTAAATTAGCATGCCTTATGCTATGCATACGTGCATTCATACATTTGTCTTGCATGCACCGGGCTCGGCGCATCATTCTAACTGCATTTGTATTTCAATTCCAAATTGAATACGTGTTAGTTGTAGCATTTCACATGTCATTGTAGATTAGCCGAGCCTATCTTAGTTGCATTTTGCATGTGTTGCATTAGCCATTTTAACATGAACTAGGATCATGCATATGATTACTAACTAGTTTTTGTTTTGGCTCGGAGTACTCGGTAAGCATTCATGCTTTAGCATACCGCATGCGTGTGAGTGTTGCCATAACAGCATGATTACTATGAGGCTATATGCTTATGTGATATAACTGCCTGAATGCCTGTGGGTGAAGGTTGGATTATTTGAATTGGAATAAATGCATTGACTGTGAGTTTTAAGCCCACTAGATAAGGGGCAAAATCATGTTTTTCTAAGCCTATCCAAGGGTGGCAAATCCACGTCTTAGCCTACTTACGGGTAGCACCATCAAACCATTTTTCAAATAAACAAACATGAAATGTTTTGTTCCAATTCAGGCGACCCAGTCTATACTTGTTTGCTGTGCGCATAACATAGTAATTCTAGGCTAATAACTGGAATAAGAACACATAACGTTTTCAAAAACGGATATCACGGTTAGTAGAGGCCGATCTTCGGATCGAGGCGAGAGGGCGGTGCTCATAGCTGATCTTCCCCAATCGTAACCCAGCTACCGATGCCGTAGCAAACTTTGGTGATGACGGCGCGTAGCCTTTGGCACCGAGTCAGGGTTTCCTAAATTCCCCCATAAAAAATATTTAGGTGGCGACTCTGTATCTGGCAAAGCAGTCCACGTTTGGCACTTCTTTCAAAATCTTTTTCTCAAAACGATTTGCCGGATTTGAACTCTTTGGTTCAGATTTAGAACCGTGACAATTGGAGAGTCCGAACTGTAGTGAACCCAAAACGAACAGAACAAGGGGGACTCGTCCTCCCGGGGCGTTCGGGCACGTCTACAGTTTCTGGCGACTCCGCTGGGGACTTTAGAGAGCTTGACTCGAACTCATGATATCCTGTTTTGATTTCATTTATGTGTCTCTTTGCATTGCATGTGCATTGGTGCTCCTAAGACACCGTGTTTGCCATCTGCCATTCCTGAACGGTTTGCCGGAGGCTTGACTTTGTCAAAGCATGCCATAAGGCTAACCAATTGTGGGCTCTGACAGTATGGGAACACAAACCCTGGTTTTACCGGGGCACCCTTTTCGACCATTCGACCTAGTGCATATCGAAATCCATAGTGACCATTCCAAATTAGGACAGGTTGCTTACCTGATGTTAGGTTGTTTGAAAACTGCTGCGTGCATAGTGAAACCCTAGCTCCTGACAAAAATAGGATAGGGAAACCCTACCCCTCTATAGGGATGTTTTGGCTCTCTTTACTTGCTATGTGTTTTTGGAGTATATCTATGCAGGGGAACACACATATCAGTTCGCAAGTCTGAGTGTCAGGCCTGCGGGCATCAGTGTTTTTGGGAACTAGTCATCTATGGGTATCAGATTTAGACTTTGGGACAGCAATTTGGAAACGGTGATCAGTGATTAAGGAACAGAACATTCAGCTTGTGGGCAATTTGTTGTGACACCCAACTGCGTGTTGTGTTTATTTTACATTGTTACGCTGTCCAATTGCCCGTTTATTTATTTGCTTTATTTATCTTTTTACTAGGTAGTCGAGCACAATTGCTTCTGACCCAGTAGATATTCCCCAAGTACTCTGGATTAGAGGTCGTCGGCTCCATCGATTTGAGGATCTGGTAGACGGACAACCAGTGTACCACTCTCTACCCCCGGTTACTAGACGGAGGGCAGTTAGGCAGAGGATATCAGTTTAGCAGTCAGTACAGAGGGCTTTGTCTACCCCACCCGAGTAGAGTAGGGATCAGGGTTCTGTTTCTCCCACAGAAAGGGAACATACACCGATAACTCAGTCAGATCAGAACAGTATGGCCAACTTAGAGGAGATGGTGCGCCAGTTCCAAGAGAGTATGAAAATGATGCAGCAGGATGCTGTTCGACAGGCAGAGTTCGCCAAGCAGCAGGCCACGGTTATGAATGAACAAGCAGAGTTAATCGTAAGGTTACAGCAGCAAACCGGAGCATCTGCTTCGCAATAAGTTCCTCCCCCACCAGGAATTCCCACCCTTGGGGAGACAGCTAATGTTCAGAATGACACGGACATTCCCACGGGACCACCTCCACCCCCGATCCTACCCCAAATCCAACCCCAGTTATCCAAAACACCCACCAACCTACCGGACTCTCCCTTTGAGTTCGAGACAGATCCCACAGCATTGAAGTTGAGCAAGCTCAAAAAGCTGTTCAAAAGATCCCAGGGAGTCAAGACCATCCCTGATGCTTATGTGATATAACTGCTTGAATGCCTGTGGATGAAGGTTGGATTGTCTGAGTTGGAAAAGCTCATTGAAATCCGTGTTTTAGCCTACTTGCGAGTACCAAATTCCAAAACATTTTTCAAAACAAACGGATATGCAATGCTTATTTCCAAATTAGGCGATCTAG